GACCAGACCTGAAACCAGGGACCGCGGGGGTGACGATCATCGGGCCTTTTTTTGGCGAGTGAAAATCAACCGGGCGACCAGGCACTTGTTTCCTGTGGGCCGTCTTCCAAGAGCTGTTGCGGCCGCGCGGGCGGACGCGGGGGCAGCGAGGCAGGCTGCCACCCCGCGCCCCTGCCCCCGCCCCGCCCCCGCGCAAACTCGTCCGAACATGGTAATGAGAAGGCGTTTGGAGTGACCAGTGCCTGCAGCCTGCAGCCGCGTGGTGCTGGGTGCGTCGTAAAAAAAGTACCGCTCCATGTCCTACTACTCAGCTCGGCCAGTGCCCGCCCCGCCCCGCCCCACCCCGCCCCGCCCCGCCCCGCCCGAAGCCCGCAGTGTCCGCGGAAACGAGAATACCCCATTCCGTCTAGTCCGTCTCTGATGTGTGCACGCCGCAGTCTACTCCATTGTCCTACTCTTCCGGCGCGGTCGTATTCTTCTAGGATTGTCCCATTCTTCTGGGCGTTCTTCGCTGTCGCGGGCGTCCTCCTCGGCGACCCCTATCCGTCCACTTCTAGCTGCTCCTCTTTTCGCAGGGTAGACACGCGCTGTGACATTCACACGCACTTGCGCACCGCGGCGACAGAATAGAGGTCAACCCGCCTCTCGAACAGGGACACGGCGTGGAGGGGCACGACGGCGGCGTCTCTCCAGAGGCCAGAGGGGGCTCTCCGACCCTCCACTCCGACCCGCCGAGGAGCTAGAGCCAGGAGAGCCCCGACCCCGCGGGAAGAGGGAAGAGGCGCCAGCAGTTGGTAATTACAACTTTGAAATTCAAATCAGTTGCTCTCTTTAAAGCGACAGCAAGACCGACCCTCGCCGCTGTAAGAAAAGGAGCGCGGCCGAGAAGAAGGAAGGAAATGAATGCACAGGTGGCGCGGTCGGGGTGCCCGCGGCGCACGCGGCACGCGCGTGATGCCGTGACGCCGGCACGGCGCGTCACTCAGGCCGCGCTGCAGGCCGCGCTGCAGGCCGGGGACTCCGGGACGGAATGCGAAGCCGCGAACCGCGCGCCGAAGATAAGGCAAACAACCCAGACCCGGGCTGGGCCGAGCGGCCGAGATAGCCCAGCGCCCAGCCCTCGGGCCCGTGCTTCCAGACAATTAGCATGAAAAAGAGCGAGAAATAGCAACCCGCACCACGAGCACCACCGCGCCGTCCGGAGCGAGGGCCGTCGCCGCGTCGAGGGCCCGGCCAGCCTGGCAGCCAGGCAGCCAGGCCAGGGGTCAAGGCCAGCCAGCCCAACATTATTCCAACCAGTTTTTCCCTCTTCCCGACTTTTTGCCCCGGACTTTGTAATTACTGTCGTCCGCGCCGCGAGGTGCACTGCTGCACTGCTGGGCTGGTGTCTTGGCAGTTTGCTTTGTGCACATGCAACGAGTCCAGCCAGCCCGTCCGCCAACCTGTCTTCGAGCCGGACCCAGCCGGACCGCGCCGCCAGCAGCGCCCAGCGCCAGGCAGGGCAGGCAGGGCGCACCCCGTCCTATAAAGAGTCAAAGTTGAGCGTGCAGCAGCGCCCCGCCCCAACAACCTGCAGGCTGCAGCCAACCCAGCCAGGCTGCAGCACCCTCATTCCAAACAGCGCTGTCTCTGTCTCTGTCGGCACGCCGAGGCACAGCGAGGCACGCCGCGAGTGCGACAGAGACAGGGCGGCGAAAGCGCTGTTCAACCTGCTGGGCTTGCAGCGCAGGGCGTACGCGAAGCACTCCGGCGGCCAGCGGCGTGCAATGCGGAACAGCCGAAACAAATTGCGTAAGCTGGCGCTATCGCGGAAGGCGTGTCCGGGCCTAGTCCGGGTGGTGCAGCGCGGTGCGGCGCGGCGTGCACACTGGCGGGCTGGCGCTCGCTCCGCGGTCCGCGCTTAGCTCGCGTGCGGCGCGGCGGGACGCGGGGCAGCGCGATAAGCACAAATCATTCATCAGGCGTTTAATTCCCAGCCGCCTTCTGGCCGCCGTCCTGGCCGCGGCGCCGCGGCACGCAAGCGGAAGCGCCACCGTGTTCCCCGCCGACACGTCCGCGTCCGCGGCGTCCGCGTCCTCCCCGGGCCGCGTGCGAGAGCGAGAGAGAGAGGGCGAGGGGCAGCGCCGCAGTGCGACGCAGACGGAGAGACTCGAGCGGGACGACGGGCTGCAGGTGAACTTTTAACATATTATTCACAAGGGTCGGCGAGCGCGCCCGCAGCACGCTCTACTCGGCGTGCCACGGCGTGCCGCGCCTGCACTGTACGGCTATCGGCCGGTCGCAGCACCGCGCAGCACCGCCTCTCTGACCGCGCCGCGCCGCGGACTGACCTTTCCAATGCGGGCCGCCGCCATGGCCTGCACGGCCTGCATGGCCTCCATGGCCTGCATGGCCTCACGGCGCGACGAGGCGCAAGCATCAACCGCCGCCCCGGCCCGCCCGGCATTCCTCCTCCATGCACGCCGTCTTGGACACGGCCGTTCAGCCAGGGTGCGCGGCGGGGACGAAACAAGAGCGCCGCGATGAAGGCCCCACCGGGCACTTCACCAGGCCCTGCTCCCACCCAGCCACCGGAATCCGGAGGACCGCTTCGCTGCCGTCTCTCTCACGCTCCCTCACAGGACGCTCCAAGGGTGCGACAGAGACAGCGACGAAATGGCTCGGCTGGGCCTGACCTGCATCTGCCGGGGTCACGAGGGCGGCGAGGGCGGCGAGGGATGCACCGCGTGTAGTCATGGCGACCGCCTGGCCGTGGCCTGGCCGAGGGCCTGGGCCGCGCTAGCCGTGCATTCCACAGGGGCGGCGCGGCACGCCCTCGACAAGCCACTAGCGGACGGGGCGGACCGGGCCGACGCGGACGTGCATGGACGTGCAGCCTCAACGGCCCCGTCGCCACGACGCGCGACACGGCCGCGGACACGGCCACACACGCACATTCACGTGCTGCACACAGTCACACACACACATGCACACACATGCACCGCCCTGGCGGCCCGGCCGCGCTGCCGCGCCACTGATCGGCGGCAGGCCAACGGCACCGCTCTGGTTCTCGGCCTCTCGGGTTGCCGCGCTGCTCGCCGCCACGTCCATATACTACACAATCTTGACGTGAAACGTGCGATGTGCGATCCACAATACGCAATGTCCCCCTTCGGAACCTTCGGAGCGGCGCGCCTTGCCGCCTTGTCGGGCTGGAGCGGCTGGAGCGGCTGGAGCCGCGCTGGAACACGACGACGAGGGCCGCCCCGACCGCGCTCAATCGGCTTTGCGCTGTAGGCGCCTCGGCGGGCCAGGCCGCCTGCCGCCCGCCTCGCGGGGCAGTCCGGCCAGTCGGCACACAATGGGACGGACGGGACGGTCCACACGAAACCCGAGCCGACCCACAGAGGCCACCGGAACCAACTGCACCAAATAACCGCGGCCGTCCGCCGCCCGTCACCCACCAGGGCGTGGCCGTGGCGGAGCTCCGCTAGCGGCGCGGACTCGGGACTCGGACACGGGGAACATGTGCGGGAAACGGAAAGCGAGCCCCGCAACGCGCAGCAACGGTACGCTACGCGACGGCTCCAATTCCAATGACGGACCCGGAGGAACGGGGAGGGGAGGGGAGGGAGTGCCACTGGGAGAAGGACCTGCAGTCCCACACCGAGACCACCGAGACCACACGCACGCCGGGGAGGCGGACACTTCCAGGGTGGTGGGCCCAAGGCGGCCCAGCAGACCGATTCCGAGAGTCGGTCTCGTCGCTCTGTCTCTCTCGCACTCATGGGACGTTCCGTGTAGGTGCGAGAGAGACAGAGCGACGAAAACGACTCTCGGAATCGGTCTGCAGGGCCTACCGACTACGCCTGGGCCGTGCCAAAGTGGCCGCTAGCCGCTCGCTTCGGTTTCGGTTTCGGTCTTCGGTCAGCATCGGACGCGCGGCGGACGCGGACGCGGCGGACAGCGGGAAGGTGACTCGAACAAATAGCTTGCGGTTGGGCCTTCACGACGAGGTGCCGCGTGGCGTGGCGTGGCGCGAGGAGGGCCGGGAACCCGGGAACGCCAACTCCAACGCCGTGGCGGGGGAAAATAAAAAATGTCTCGACGCCCCTGCCTGCCAGAGTACGTGAGTACGTGCGTGTGCGTTGCGTTGGTGCGCTCCTCGCATGCATACGCCGGGCGGGGGCCGGGGGCACGGCGGGGGCATGCCGGGGGCAGGCAGGATGAGGGGAGCAGTGACTTGCGTCTTCTCGCCACGCCGCCACGCCTCACCTCCCGCGACGCCGCCGAGCACGCCGTCGACGACGACGCGCGGATGCACCAGAGCGGCGTCGCGACGCACCGCCACACAGAGTGCACAGAGGGTGTCCGGCGCCTCTCCCTGCACCCCACCTCCATTCAGACGCTCGCACGCACTCACACGACCAGACGGACGGACAGACAGGTGCACGGACGCGTCATGGGCGAGCGAGACAGGGGTAGAGATTGACGATCGACGGGCATTGTGTGTGTGTCCGTCTGCCCGCCGTCTGCCTCGTGCGTGCCCAAGTGATAAGGACATCAATACTGCATGACTCAATTTTCAATTCATATCCGCCCTCCGCCCCCTCATGCTGTCTGTGTCCATCCTGAATAGGTGTTCCATGGGCAGTCTCCACCAGTCTCCAAGTCTCTGTCTCTATCAGCTGGGCTATACAGTGTGCTAGGATAGCAAGGCTGAAGGTAAGTTGGCTTAAGCATTACCTTTTGGGCAGCAGCATCAAAGCAGTGAACTACCACTATGCATAAATGATTAAGAGCTCCACAGATGTACCTTAAGACTAGATCATTATTTTCAGCACAGATTAAAATATGTAAATATTCGTGATCAGCTGCTCGATGGTAGACATCCTCTATGCTACAATTGAAGCACAAAAACAAATTTGGTTGGCTGATTTAAAGTTAAAAATTAAGTGCTTAATCAATGGACAAGACAATCTAGTATCTCTAACAGGTATGTTCTGAAATACACCACTTACCATATGATGTGACAGCAAAAATGTGGGCACTTGCTTTTGGAATTAAGAATGCACTATCCTCTTCAGGAGACAACAACTTCATAATGCACAAAACCAGCCTTAACAAGTTCACCCCAATGGGAGGGTAGCATCGGTTGAGGTTATGTTTACCTCCGCCACTAGCAGCCCACACAGTATTCCATCATATTACACACATCCCGATGACAATGAAAGGGAAGCAGACGACATGTGGAACAGAAACACAACAAAAGTACGGCTCGTTCTTTGGGAAGAAGTCACATTCGACTCACATCCACTCTGAGCGAACGCAAGTAATAAACTGAACTGAAGCTCTCCTCCTCCTCTCTGGCGTTGCGTTCGTTCTTCTGCTATCCTCTCCTCCCCCTCCATCCCCCTCTACACCCCCACTCTGTCCAACATGTCCTCCCCTTCCTCCCCGATCGCCCCTGTCCTTCCCGTCCTTCCCCTCACCGCACCTCCCTCACCTTCCCCCACTCTCCCACGCCACACCTGCTCCTAAACTTTCAACTCGGAATTTACCGAAAATAATTTGTCGCTATTGATGAAACAACACAATTTGGACTCTCTTTTTTAATCCTTTTACTAAAACAACACTCACGAGAGGTCGCCGATCCATGGATAAACGTGGCATTCAATCCTATTTTTGTCATGGAGATCATCCAGTATTTTCCAGAGGTTGGCCAACTTGACCGCTGTTCAAATGTTTTCCGTTAGCGCGTAGCCCGTTGGTGTTTTGACTGAATTCGATTCGAAACCTTTGTCCTTTGTCGTGGGTGATTTGTGATTGTGAGACCCTCGGTACTTGTCCAATCGAGGTGAGGTGGAATTATGGATTTACATTGCAATGTCCAAGCGTGCCGCAAGCCTCTGACTGGAACCCTGTGGGTTACAAGCTGTTCCCATTCGTTCTGTGAGGAGCATGCTAGCACACTAACTCTCAAAAACATTAAGTGTCCAGCCTGCAACACAGCTCTGGGAAAACGTTTTGATGTCATACGTCAAAACTCTAACCCTGCTGAAGACTACAGAGCGGTTTGTTCATTTGTTCAGTCACAAGGTGCCCCCACACCCACAACCTCGGGGTGACAAGGCATACTTGAAAGGTTGAATTTCAAATTCTCCTTTCCAGATGCTCCTGGTTGGACTTCGTCCCGAAATTGTTTTGGACATGGCTATGCGTGCAGTGTCATTCTGGAACTACCAAGTTGAACACGAGCTTAAATTCCAATTGACTTCTGCCAAACGCTCCAGAGAAATTGCGGAGAAGTCTAAAACCACTAATATGTCATTGATGAAACAGATAGCCTCAACAAAGAAAACTTCTGATTGTAAGTAAACGTTGACAATCTTTTTGATCAGTTGAGTTTCAACCATTCCATGTAATATTTTTCGGCAGGTAACGAAAGACTTGTGGGAGACTTAAAAAGTACAATAAGACAATTAAAGGAACAGATCACCTATAAAGATCGGCAGCTCAAAAAAGTTCAAGTATGTTCAGAAGGGTAATGTTTTGCTGGTATTTTCGCTGCATCTTTTACTCTTGTGCATTGTTTCCTCTCAGCATCTATTTGACTCATTCAAAAGCAAAACAAGTTTTTTGCCCCAAGAAGTTGAAAACACCAGTGATAATGATTCCTTTGATCCAAAGCATAATGAATTTCATGAAAAGAATGCACCTAAGAAAACAGGTAGGGAAAAGTAATTTGGTGAAATGAGGATAAATTTCTTGAAATGTCACAGATGAATTGTCTGAGAACTTATGAAATAAAATGTCCTTTTTCCTTCTCCTTCCAATAGATTTTGTGTTTGAGCCACGCTTTGCACCACAGTGAAAGGAGTGCCTGCAGGAAGAGGACTGGCCTGTGGATGCTTATTTGGAGATTACCTTTTCTTTTTCAATTTTATTTCACATGGAGCTGTGGTAAAACTAAGATCATTTGTATATTGTAATTGTATGTACTTGCCATCATTTTTTTTCTCAAATCATTTCATTAACAGAATGTGAAAGCTCTCACACTACAGATTTAAGTTTGTGATAAATATAAAAGTAAAAAAACATAAAAATAATTACATCAATTTATATTTATTTGTACTTAGTACTTTTGGTACTGCCCTCACATGCAAATAAATAATTTTAATACCATGTAGAGTTACAGAAATAAACATACATGAAAGCAGTTATTTTAACAATTGACATGAATAAAACATAGTATTAGAACACTCTGGCCCCAAATTAATAAATTCAAAAGAAAAAAAAGATACATAACAAAAATAGGTTGATCTGTTCTGACCTCTATTGGTGGGATAGGTAAAGAGGTAGAAAAATACAAAAATAAACACTGGTGCAATGAAATTTTAGAAAGAATGTCAAGTCACTCTCAGTCTTAAAATCCTTAAACTACATTTTACAAAAAGTACCCAGAATGAACATTCATTTCACTCTTACAATAATGTCACATGTTGAACAATTCTATGAAATCAAGTAAAGTACAAAATGGCTCACAAAATTTTGGGAACTTGCTGGACTGCACTGCACTCCTGATGTTGACTAGCCAAAAACATGTCAGAAAAGTTAAACCTATTAGAATTCAGGTTTTGTTAAATTGTGTTAACTTTTTAATCTTAATTCTGACATTAAAACTCCATATAAATATGAAAAAATCTTTAGATGCATTACACTTGACAACTTCAGATTTATCGTTTGGTAATCTTCAATGGTACCATGAAGCCAGCCTCTGGCTCCATTATCACTTTGTTAAGTAGCAAGTAAATTAAAACATTAAATGAAAACACGCATAGTCCTACGCACTATATGCCTACATATAGGACATCGACCATGTGTACGCTTAATAGCAGCACAACAATCATAACACAGGCATACATGTCTACAAGGAAGAATAATGGTGCACCTTTCACTATCTTGACACACTACACATAAGTGATCCTCTGGCTCTATAGGTTTCCTGTAGGCTTGTTCTGCATGTTCTTCAATTGCTCCATCCCTAAAAAACACACACAAAAAAAGAATTAACATACAAAACATTTTTATAATTGGAATTGAGCCTACACTGACACCCACCTTTCATTCAATGGTTCATTATTTGGAGCCACACCCGCAGCATCTCTTGGTGCTCCTCCATTTGCAGTGGCGAAGAGACGAATTCCATTGAAAGACGGAGTCATTTGATTAGTCAAGAGCCACAGTGTGAATGCTTCTAAGTACATCCAGGCAGCCATCAAAGTTTTCTGACTTTGACTTAGGATGTAAAGAACATTTCTTACTAGCAAAGGTATAATACTACGGTGATATTTAATCAATATCAAACCACAAAACACACATACAAACAAACCATATAGAGATTCTCTGGGTATGTCTGAAACAAAACATACAGTTTCCTGATATCCTTCCAGTAATCTTGAACGAAGACTTTTTACAAGATCTCTTAAATGAACCATGCATTGAATGAAAAATACAACTAATGCTTGTTTTAATGTAAACAAAGAATTTGGAAAAAATACAAAAATATCCCACGATGTCAAGCCAACAAGGACTAATGCGTTCTTAACTAACACTAAACTGTAGTGAAAACTTGTCAGTATGTAGTTCACTAAATTGACAAAACTAGATACAACTAAAACAGAGAAGTTCTGTAAGCCTAGAAAAACATGTCCTAAACTAGAACAAGTACCCAACACAGCATAGAAAAAACTTTCACCTAACTCTATCAGTGTTTTCAACAAGAGTGAGAGAGCAGATGATAAGTCTGACATGAAAACAAAATAATCTTCTGCAAGCACATGAACTAGTTCTTGAAGTGTCAAAATACATTCTACAAAGAGAGAAGTGAGAGCTACTGCGAGCTTGACGATCAGCCGTCCTATGAAGTAGCTGAGGTTGAAGCTGAATGATATGGTGTTGGAAAATAGAGCTATAAGTGCGACACAGCCATTGGTTGCAAGGTTGACAGCACTCCCGAGGCTCTCGATCATTTTCACAATAGATTGAGCTCTTAGCTCTTAAAAGTGACAGTTTAACATAGTTCAAAAGGTTCTAGTTCTAGTTCTCTTGTGTTTACATGGGTGGAGGGTATTGTTCTGTGAATAACATTTACAGGCTAACCAGTATACACACGATCCTTTTACTGCCAATATCAGCAGACAAAACAGCAGAGGATCCTTCAAAACAACATTTGAGAAGAGATAAAACTTGAGGAGAACTGTCACTTAGCGAAGATGAAAGCCATGCCAAACTAAATACTTGTTCGTTGACAAAGCCCGTTCACCTGAGAACTCATCATCAAAGTGCTTGTTTCGGAGGCCATGTCAGAAGTCATTTGCAATGCGCTGCTCAAGCAACACGGGCAGTTTAACCTCAGTTCGACTCCAATTGGACATACTTAACAGCGTAGTGGAGGTTTATTTTTAAAAGGAAGCCAGTGAGGCAGAAACCAGTTATCTTCAAAATGAATGAAACTCCACTGATCAGGAAGGAGGAGCCTATCCCAGAATGCAAGATACCAATGAATGTACCAGTTCCTGTCAAGTACAGCTTGCGCATACTTGCGTTGGTGTTTATTCTGCTTCAGAAGTCATGGATGTCTCTGACAGCAACAGCTGTAATATATACAGTAGTGTACATTGTCTTTGGAGGTTTTATTTCTTTCCTGCTCTTATTTTGTTGCATATTATGTAAGTGGTGGTTTTTCCCTTTGTTTCTTGAACATATGTTTGTATTTTATTTAATTACCTTCTGTTCTTCGCAGTAATTCTGTATTATGCTCAAGATGGTCTTCTGTATTACCCTCATGTACCTAAGAATTCTCGTGCAGTTGTGCTAGAACCAACAATGTTAGGTCTGCCTAGTGAGACCGTGTATATCAGAAGTGCCGATGGAACGCTCCTCCATTGCTTTCTGATTCGTCAACCAGAACCAGCCTGTACAAAGGCACCTACTATTTTATTTTTGCATGGAAATGCAGGCAACATAGGCAATCGGTAAATAAATCAGTTAGGTACAAGTTGCTACTGAAATGTGTCCTCTCTAAACTTGTCTTTTGTTCTGCAGATTACCCAATGTTGTTGGTCTTTACAAATTGTTAGGGGCAAATATATTTATGCTTGAGTACCGTGGGTTTGGCCTGTCAGAAGGTAAACCTTCTGAAGGAGGGTTTTATGCTGACGCAAGAGCAGCATTAAATTATCTTCATTCTCGAAACGATATCAACAGCAAAGAAATAATACTATTCGGACGCTCATTAGGTAGGTGATTTTCTGTTAATTCATTCAAGGTCTGAAACTTTTTGATCAGTTATATTGAAGTATCTTCTTTTTACTCAGGTGGTGCAGTGGCCATTGATGTAGCATCTTGTCCAAATTATTCATCTAAAATTTGGGCTCTTGTTGTGGAGAACACATTCACTAGTGTCCCAGACATGGCTAAAATCCTTATTGGATCGTATTTGGGATTTTTACCCATGTGGTGTCACAAAAACAAGGTTCTTAAATATTTCTTGCAGCATTTTGTCGTGAATTACTTTTTAGCAAGTTTCTGATGAAACTTTTCCTGATTTTCTTTTCTGTTTCAGTTCCTGAGTTTTAACAAAGTGAGACGCATCACTTTACCCAGTCTTTTTCTTTCTGGCCTCTCTGATGATCTTGTCCCACCATCAATGATGGAGTGCCTATATGAGTGTTGTGCATCATCGCTGAAACAAAAGTTTGTATTCCCCAATGGAACTCACAATGAAACATGGAGATGCCAAGGGTATTTCCACGTATGGATGGGTTTACTGGTGGAACTTCGAAAGAGAGATGCAAACTTAGCTGACCAAACCACAACACGAGCTCAACCTTTAATACATTCAGTCATAGAAACTGTGTAATGGAAGAAAGTCTTGGATTGAAGAAATAATACTTCCCATGTTGTAAGAAAATAAAATAGGATATGGTTATAATTTATTACATGGCCTAAATATTATCAATCTTTTATTAAATTTCCTGTGAGTTATTGACCAATTGCTTCTGAAAGTGGGTTGATTTTTACCCACTTTCTCATGGAATTTTTAATTGAAGGGGATCTTCTAGAAGTCTGTTGAAGGGGATTTTGCCTAAACCTCTATCAAGGAATTGGATTTTGGTGCATTGACCTAACATTGTCTGATGATGTAGGCTTTCTTTTTCTCTGTAAATAACACCAACTTATACTTTACGGAAAATATTTTGTGATATGTTGGCATAGACTGATAATAGTAGCTATATTTCAAGTTGTCAACAGAAACATGAATGTTTGCCTCACTTTAAGCCCATTTCAGGAGCTACTTTATTTTAGGTACAGTTTGTCCTTTGTTTTGGTGATTAGAAGCCCATTCAATTGGTCCATGTATATTCTTTTTTGCTTATCTGTGATTTGTAATTGTAATTATGTAACCAATTAATAAAAGATAAATATAATTGTGCAGGAATTGATTTTACTATAGCAGTTAAAATGAAATCATAACATTTATTTTAAATGCGGATGTTCAAAATACATTCACAAAGATATGCAAGACAAAAGTAAAAATGAGTAGAGCTCTTATTACATAATGGTACAGGGACAATCAAAGCGGCCACATCAAAAGATAGCCTAGACTTTCCTTGCTTCCAAAAATAATGACTGCTTTGATTGAAAATGGAAAAAAGAAGAGACTGACAATGATAGAGAAAAATGCTTAAATCTTGGCAGAGATGTGACTACCGTGCTTGCGGAGACCATCCGCAACCCTGCGTCCGAAATCAGCATCCACTTGGCAGAAGTTCTTGACAGCACGTTCCTAAAGCAGAAGACAGCGTTAAAATTCGAAACATAATTGAAAACGAGACAAAAAGTACACTCTCTGAACCAACCTGAATAAAGTTCTCGGTGTCCTTGAGGTGGCCGCAGATGTTGCTGACCAGGCGCTCGCGCTCCTCTGCGTTGAGCACCTCGCGCCAGAAGATGCCGGGCTGGCTGAAGTTGTCGTCGTCGGCGGTGTTGTACCTGGTGACGTCCCCGGACACCTTGTACGCGGGCGGCTCCAGCTTGGCGTTCTGCTCGGGGCCGGAGAAGCTGTTGGGGTAGTAGTTGGGGGCGCCGCCCTGGTTGTTGGTCACGTTCATGGGCCCGTCGCGCTGGTAGTTCCTGACGGCGGTGCGGTACGGGCAGTTGACGGGGATCTGCTGGTAGTTGGGGCCCAGGCGGTGGCGGTGCGTGTCGGCGTACGAGAAGATGCGGCCCTGCAGCATCTTGTCGGGGCTGGGCTCGATGCCGGGGACGAGGTGGGAGGGCGCGAAGGCGACCTGCTCCACCTCGGCGAAGTAGTTGGTGGGGTTCCTGTCCAAGACGACGCGGCCCACGGGGATCAGGGGGAACTCCTTGTGGGACCAGACCTGGAGGAAGAGGAGGGTAAGTCACACCTCGCACGGATGCACTGGACTTACGGTGTACCAAAACCAAATTGTTTGCATACCTTGGTGATGTCGAAGGGGTTGAACCTGTACTTCTCCGCCTGCTCGAAAGTCATGACCTGGATGAAGAAGTTCCACTTGGGGAAGTCGCCCTTAGTAATGGCATTGTAGAGGTCACGGATGGAGTAGTCGGGGTCGTCGGCGGAAATCTTGCCAGCCTTGTCCACTGGCAGGTTCTTGATACCCTGTCCACTCTGAAACAGGAGGCAGCCGAAGTTAGGAACACATAAATCCACCATTTAAACAAAAAATAAATTTAAAAAAATACCTTGAGGTGGAATTTGCAGTAAACAGCTTCATTCTTGTCGTTGACAAGCTTGAAGGTGTGAGAGCCATAGCCGTTCATGAAACGGTAGCCATCGGGAATACCACGGTCGGAGAACAGGAACATGGCCTGGTGCGTGGATTCCGGCCTCAGGGTGAAGAAGTCCCACACCATGTTAGCATCCTGCCACAAAAAGGGAGACAATTAGCACTTTTGCAGAAATAAAGGGCATTCGCTTGTGAAAGCTGAGGGAGAATAAGCTGACCTTGAGGTGAGTGGCTGGGTTGCGCTTCTGGGTGTGAATGAAACTTGGGAAAAGAATGGGATCACGAACGAAGAAAATGGGAGTGTTGTTTCCAACCAAGTCCCAGTTGCCATCCTCAGTGTAGAACTTGACGGCGAAACCGCGAGGATCTCTGTCGACGCAAGCAGAGATAAATTAGTTGATGATCGAGGCTGAAAAAAAAAATCGACCACCAATCACTTAATTTATTTATTGCCATCCATACCTGACGGTATCAGCAGACCCACTCTCGCCTCCGACGGTGGAGAAACGGATGGCGAGGGGCGTCTTCTTGCCAATCTGGTTGAAGAGCTTGGCCTTGCAGTACTTGGAGATGTCGTGGGTCACCTCCAAGTATCCAAAGGCACCTTCGGGCACAAAGGAGGTTTAGAACTCGAACAAAAAGGGCGAATGGGACGCACTGACAACATTCGAGTGTGGCGACGTGTTACCTGCGCCCTTGGCGTGCACCACGCGCTCGGGGATGCGCTCGCGGTCGAAGTGGGCCAGCTCCTCCACGAGGGTGATGTCGGTGAGCAGCAGGGGGCCGCGGGGGCCCGCTGTCAGCGACGCCAGCCTGTCCCCGACGGGGGTGCCGTCGGCGAGGGTCAGCCTCTCCATGTCCTGCAACACGAACAGACGGTCCACTTGAGCACGCGGCACAGCGAGGTGCAGCACGGAGAGGGTGTGCCACCACGAAGACGCGTGGTTCAGAGCGTACTCGGGACTCCAGGGGGAGGCAGCCATTGCAGCCGTACTTGGCGGTGAGGTACTTGAGGGCCCTGGCCATGCCGGCAGCCCCAGGCACTGCGCCCTGGCCGCGCAGCCGGTGGCTTGATCGGCACGCTACTGACTGCACCACTGTACTGCGCTGCCCGCGTGCCCCGTCCGGCCGGCCAGCGAGGCCCACCCCCAGCCCCAGCCACGAGCAGCCCCTGTCCCTGTCCCAGCCAGTGCAGGACAACGATGAAAAACTTGGAGCACCCGGACTTCCGCGCGGTGGCCGACTAGGCTGTTCGATGGATGCACGGGGCGGGGCGGGGCGGGGCAGTGCGGCACGGCCCAAGCCGCGGGGCTCAAGCCACGGGGTCAAGGAAGGCAAGTCGCCCCTGAATAAAGAAATGAGCCGCGTCACGACACCGTCGAAGTTTCGAGTCGAGCGAAAGCGAGTCACGTACGACATGTCAGTCAGTTTCGCCGCCAATCGCCAATCCCGGGTAAGCCCGGCCTGGCTAATCGATGCCCACTCCACTGTAGAGGAACGGCTTCACGTAAGTGCGGAATTCCACAACCAGACTGATGCAACGGCCACGTAACACGCTGGATCGACCGACATTGTACTGTTTTGGACAAACAACGAGTTGCGGCCGAAAGCGTCCGGCCGGTGTCACGTATGCTTCCTGTCCACTCGATACCCCGGTAATCCTCAGTTTTAAAAAGTAACGACTGACTCTCAGATAACGACAGGCGGATCAACGCGCAGATTGCAGCACGTACACACATCAATTTTTTGTTCTCGGACGATTTCCCTGTAAGTCTATCTACGCCACAGTTGGCGAGATTACTTTCCCGGCGACATTGAACTCCAAATTCAACGAAATCGATCCGGTTCCAACTAACGCTCTGCTTCGCAAAACGCGGAAAGCTTTGAGGAACGCGGCGTCGCCAAGTCTGCAGACACCAGGACGCCCCAAGGACGGCCAAGCATGCTGCCGCTGCGGTCGAGTAGTCCACAGTGCAGGCGCGAGAAAAACGCACCCAGACCACCGACACCGCGCAGTAGAGCCGTGCAATTAGCTGTTGTTGTGAGAAAGCATCTGCACCTGCACTGGGAGTCAAGGAAGGCCGCGGCGGAAGCGCACGCTTCGTCGCAGCGGTCCTGTCGCGCGCCGCTCGTCACGGCGCTCGTGTCACGCAGTTCGTCACGCCGACGGTCCCTTTTCACACATGATCGGGCACTTCGTCGCGTGCCGCGCGCCGTTCGATGGGCGATGACACGCGCGGCGGCCTGGCGTCGCTCTGTCTCTCTCGCTCTCATGGGGCGTTGCGTACGGGTGCGAGAGAGACAGAGCGACGAAAACAACGCCGGCAGGGAAGAGGAACAACACGCGGAACCGCGCGCCGGACCGCGGGCACCGCAACGCGTCGCACTTGGGCGGCGATGCTCGGCGCATCGGCGCATCATCGTGGCGGTGGCCAACAAGGGCGTGTCGAAGACGCGAGGCCGCCGCGAGTGGCAAGCGGCGAGGTCCCGGTGACCCAAACGCTCGACGCGGCCAGCCAGCGCGGCCAGCGGACACACTGCACATATCGCATCGCTCGCCAGAGGGAATGCCGATCTGCAGATAGCGCACCGCTCCAGCGGCAGACCGAAGGCCGAAGAACCGGGTCGGGTGGCCCGGCCCGACAAAACGGCGGGGCGAATCAGAAGCCTCTGACTGGGTCACCCCGATGCACCCCACACGGTAAAACCGAAGACCAGACTCATTCTGACACAGATTGCTCGCTCTAGGACACCCGAAACCGCGGACAAACGTCGCCGCCCCGCACGCGTGGGAACGATGGACCGAAACTGTTTAGACAGACGGCGAGCTATTTCTTTCCGTCACACCGTCCCGCTAACCGCGCCGGCAGCCAATTAGGACGAGGCGAGCGATTCGTCGCTTTGTCTCTCTCGCATCCCGTGAGTGCGAGAGAGACGGGAATGGTGCTGCAGTGTGGTCGTCGCGTGCCGAGGGTGCCGAGGCGGCGCGAATAAAAGGTGACTCCGCGGACGGCAACCCCGAGCGGAGCGGAACGGAGGCGGCGACCGCTCTAAGTAGAAACTCGATCCGACGCCGCCAGAGTAACCGCCTCTTTAGCAGACCGGTCGCTGCTTGGCCGCTACACTTTCGATTGCTTCTGCTTCCGGCCGCCGCCACTTCCTCGGCGCCGCGTCCCTGCCGCCGTTCGTCCGGCGTCTACGGCGCCCCACATTAGGTCGCCGTCGGTGCGTGCACCTGCGCGTCGTCGCAAAGTTCAAGGAGCGCGGCGTGCGGAAGGTCTTGCCGACTGACCTACTCGCACTCCGCCGCTCTGCGTTCGGGCCTCGGGCCGCGCCTTCCGAGAGGCCTTGGCCATGCCTTGGCAGTGTAGTCCCGATTTCTTTGGCCCGCAGCGACGCGGCAGCGAGGCAGCGCGCGGAGGGCCCGGGGGGGGGGGGGGCACCGCGTGGGACCACCAGGACCACTTTCATCCACACGGCGATGCGAAACCGGGCAACCGGGCCCCCGGAGCAAGGGCTGCACCGCCAAGGGCCCCGCCGAGAAACGCAACGGAAACCACGCGGGCGACGAGGGCGGCGGGCGGACGGCGGTGTCGCGCGCCATCATCGATATCTCGCATGGGAACGTGGATCGATTTCTTTTATCTCGTCGGAAACAAAGACGCGTCCCGCCGTGCACCTGCCTGCGTGCACACCGGCCGTCCACCACGGCGCCCGACAGCGCGGTGCTTACGGCCCCAAAGGGGGCCCCGCCTGGCCCCGCCCGGCAGACAAATGGCGAGACGCTGCTCAAAGGGGCCCGTCCGTACAGTGCAGCGAGCAGCAAGGCGCCTGCGACGTCGGCCACCTCCGCGGCCGCAGCGCACGCGAGTGCGGCGGGTTGCCTAGGCCGGCAGGCGATTGCGGGGACCGCCGGGCCCGTCCGCACGCTTTGCGTGAGCCTGCACAGCGATCTCAGACACCGCTTTCGTCCACCTGTCTCCCACACTCCTGGGACGTGGACGGGTGCGAGGGGGACGGAGCTGTACTCGGCTGTACTGCTGTACCCGGCCGGCAGCAGTCAGACGAGGGAATAAGGAAAAGGCCTACTCCTTGTGGCATTTTCCCAGTGGGGCAGGGCACGGCGCGGCACGGCGTCCGCCGGGGACTCCGCAGTCCGCCGCCAACGCCAACCTGGCTGGCGGGCTGGCCGACCCAGTCCGGCCCGGGCGGGCGTTACGGTTACACAACGACGGCCGGCCCGGCGACAAGGCGCGGCAGCGCCGGGCAGCGCGCACTCATTATCAAATGTTTTCATGATTTGGAGTGAGCCAGCTCGGCGGCGACGACGCGGCCAGCAGTACAGTGGCGGCCGAATGGCGCGCCGACTCCGGAAAGCGTTGGTTACTTTTAGCCGATGACCTGCCCGCCTGGCCAACGCCGTGGCGGTATCGGCGCTGCTCCATTTCCTAGGCGGTGCCGCGTGTCGGCCGACAGTCCGTCAGACGAGACGACTCCGCGTCCAGATCGGCAAAGGCGGCAAAAACGTGGCGGGCGCCCCGGGCGCGGCGTGGCGTGGCGGAGACAATGCCGAAGCCGAAGCCGGTGACGAAACGCGGCCAGGCCCTCCGTGCGACTCCAACAGCCAGCCGCATCATTTTCCGGTCTTGATGCGCCGCGGCGGCGCGGCCCGCATTTACAACGCCGCGCCCGTCGCCCTGCACCAGACGGCCAGTGTCAAAGTCACGGGTTCGCGTTCCCAGAAAGGGGACATGTTTTTTGGGGTACTTGAAAACCTTGAGCCACGCGTTATTTCAAGGGCGAGATTAAGGTTCGGCAAGCCGGCCGGGCCATGTGAGTGTCTCTGGGAGCCCGGGCCCCGGCTCTGGGAAGCGCTCGTGGTCGTGTGCGGCAGAGGGCCCAAGTTTCATCATCCCCTGAGACAGGTGAGGCAGGTCGCACACACAGCACACACGGTCCTGTGTACTCTGGTCATGAGCTCGAGAGGTGTCAACATGTGGGCCAGATCCATCACGTTGGTGGTAGGCAAAGGCAAAGGCAAGCCCGGGCCGGGTGATGATGCCATCAGCCACGCAGCCACGGCTCCACGGATCGATGCCAAACCGACCCAAACTGTCACTGCGACGGCACTGCGACCTTGGCCCTGGCGGGGTGCACGTGCACGCCGGGGATGCGCGTGCACCTGCAGGCTGATGCCGAACCGTTTTTCCGTCGCGCTGTCTCTCTCGCACTCGCGGGGCGGCCTGTGGGGGTGCGAGAGAGACAGCGCGACGAAGCGCGGCTCGGAATCAGAGTGGCGTGCGGCACGCGCGGCCGCACGTGCGCGTGGAAAACTCATCGGCGCGCTTCGGCTTCGGCCGCTAATTGCTGCGAGGCGAGGCAAAATTGGACGAGTGACTCGGAACAACGAACGCGTACGTGGAACTGGCGGAGGACACGCTGTAGCACTCGGCCAGGGAATTGGAATGGCCCCACTGCGGCAGCGTAGGGTCACTCCCTCGGTCACTCCTGTCTCTCTCACATACGCTCACGCTCACACTCATGGCAGGCGAGCGAGAGAGACAGAGCGACGAAAGCACTGTGGCCGCGTGACGCAACGAGCGGCCGGTGCCACTGCGGCACTAATCGGTCGCGAGCACGCCGTCGTGCCGTCGTCGGCAAGCCGTAGTGGAGCATCGCCTTGATTGGGAAGGAAGCCATTCGGTGCGTTCGTCGTTAGGCAACCGTTTCCGCCGAGACCGGCCGTCGGCCGGCGATCCAACGGCCACGACGGCCACGTCGGGCGACCGCGCGCGGAGCTGCTCAAGAAGAGCGTGACCGCGAGGGCCAGGGGGCGTGGCGGCGGCGGCGGTTTAAAAATTTAAAGGTGCCGCCGGTCGCCGCCACTCCTTGCGGCTCCTGCGGCCGGCAAAGAGCAACGAGGAGTCGGGGGCTCGACTCGACCGGCTTCTTGTTTACCGGACGACTTTCGACCCGGGCCCCACGCCCCTGGGGCCCCGCCGCGCCGCGCCAGGCGTGCGAAGAACGGAAACAACGCGACGACCGAGCGAGCGAGCGACCGGACAGCCAACAGCCACCACACCACGGCGTCAAGGCCGCGATGCACCCCCGGCCCGGCGCCCTGAGCACGTCACGCCAATACTACTACACATGCCATGCACTCCACTCCACTGTGGCGTCAACGTCAACGCAACGACGGCCAACGCCCACCACCCAACGCCCGATTGCGAGAAAGGCGCCCCGCGAGACAGAGATAGAGATAGCACACGACATCACATCGCGATAATGGGATCTCATGTGCCTAACTGTACGTGGGCAGAAACTTTCTAGCGTGATTAGGTGCACAACACAACATATTCTTTCTCGGCTTCTGTCTATTTTTGGGTCTGCCTGTTTTACTCATGGAAGTTGTTGGAGAATATCAACTGATCCCTGAGGGAAAACCACCCATAAGTGAGTCTGAGACTTAGTGGCTGATTGCTGATGTAAATTGAACACAGTCTTGCGCCTGTAGCTTTACAGAAAATGCAATCAAAGGCAGCCTGAGAGAGTTCATGACGCAATGAGGTGAAATTATTCTCGTGACTTCTTTGTAGCCTGTCAGCAAACTAGTGATAGATGAAGATTTAACTTAAATTGAAAAACGACTTCATCAACAGATTTATCTAGCATCATAGATCACGTGACAGCAACCAAATTTCTAAGCCGCTTAGCCCTGATCGTATACATGAGAACACCTGTGCAAAAGGCAAAGATGACTGTGCAGATTTACATAAGATGTACTGAATACTTGTGAGTGACTACCACAATTTATTGCACAGCTTTCTCCACACACGACGACCTACAGCATAAATAATATTGCGGAGTAAGCTACTCTTATACATTGGGGACGGAAAGCAACAACTTAAAATTGAAAACACACAAAATGGTATGAGAGGCACAACAACCTTGTGTGTCTTGATAGCGCGACATTTCTAGAATAAAGTAGTATGAGGTTAGTACATGATAACAGTGATAGTCATGCCCTCACCCTCGTCTGCTTCTTGTAGTCGGGGAGCTGGTTGGCAGCGGGATCGTTCGACATGTTGAAGCTGTTGGGTCACTTGAAGCACAGACGAAGGCTCCGGCAAGACTGCCACAGAAAATCAGCGGCCGGTGCGGCGACTTCGTGTATATAAACCACTTGTAGACCCGGACCTTGTCACGGACACGGACGACGACAGGTTGTGTGTGTGTGTCCGTCTGTCTTCTGCAGGCAAGGGTGGGGGAATGTAAACAAGCTGCGCCTTCTACGAAATGCGTCAGCTGCGGTGCTCTTCGAGCTGGCCAACCTCCCAACTGTGTTTCAGGGATGGACTGAAAGTTTTCCTGGCATTGACAACTCATAGTAATGTCGTCAGAGCACTGTAATTTGATATTTCAGTCGTTTTCTAAATAATTCAAGACGTTTAAAACATTGGAATGCCTTAAAGCATCCTATGTTTTCCTATGGTGTTTCAGCACCGTGCGTTGGTCTCCATTCACAGACGTTGTTTTGTTTACATTATTTTCAGTCTTCCTTCAACCGAACGCCGAATCCACAACCTTTTGTTAGGCCACTTGGAAAGGCGTGAAATTGAAGAGAAACGAGAAAATGATCGAAGAAATCCATTGAAATTTGTTGTTGCTCAAACTATTCTGCTTATGCATTTACTTTATTCGTCCAGTCAATCGCTCTCTGTACCAAAGGCGACATGTGGTACCTCGAATCACCGAGGGGTAGGTCCACAAAATTTCACAATTTTGTTTGAGAAACCATCATCTATTGTTCATGGCTTGTCTCAGACAACAACATTGAAAATATTTTTCGTCACGTTTTCATTTATACCTCCAATACTTCCTCATTTGTCAATATGAGAACTGTCTTTGGTTAGTTCTGAATTTTGCTCCCATTCCAGGTGAAATTTACAATGTGACGCCTGGTAGAGTTCACACTGTTAGCCGAAAGAATGGTGATATAGTACTCGCCAATGACCAGTCCGTCAGCAGGAGACATGCCTTCCTAGAAGTCCGATCACCAATTACTGTAAGCTCCTGTTTGTGGTATAAAGCATCAACGTTAAAACAAGGAAGTAATAATCTATTTGACTTGTTTCAGGAAGGGGTTTCTGTTTGGGATGAGTCATCAAAGTATGGTACTTTTGTAGATGATGGCATAGCAAGAGATAAGAAACTTACTGCAGGATCGAAGACGACGGTTAAAGAGGGAGGGAAAATACGATTTGGTCTGCAAGAAATGAACATTTGGACGTAAGTGTTTGATTTAGTCAATTCTTTGCTGTCACTTGCATTTGGCGTATCAATTTATTTTATAGGTGATTGTTTTGATTTTTTGTGGCAGGTTAAAAGTAGAAAAGCTGTGTGTGTGTGCCCATTTGTTAAAACCCATTGAAAAATCTAATCTTAAATCAGTATTGAATGCAATGGGTTTTCGACTACTTGACAATTGGATCAAAGAAGCAACTCACCTCACCACAAACTATCTTTCCTTAAGCTACGAGGTCACAATTTTACTTTTGTTATTTCTGGAATTCTGTTACTTTCATACTTTAATCGAAGTTTCATTGTAGGTGTTGTGTGCTCTGGCGTCTGCTAAGCCAATCGTGCTGCCGGAATTCTGGCAGCACTATGCGCGCATGATGACTGGAGACGGGGCTCTTCCTGAGCCTGCCAAGTTTATGCCACCCCTGGAAGACAGTAGCTCTTTGGGATCCCGAAAGGCATGTCTTCCAAATTTGACCAGAAAAACCTTATTTGCTGACAAAACTTTCATATTTTCCTCTTCAATATCATTTAATGCATATAAAACTGTGATAGCCACTGCAGGTAACTTAATTTTTCAATCATCTATGGTGTTTTTTTTTTTTTTTTTTAGGGGGGGGGTTGGAAAGCTTTTTCTTAAAATACAACCATTTCAATTGTTCATTTTGCTCTTTCTAAATTGAATTTTTTCTTCTTTGCAGGGGGCAAAGCTTTTAAAATGTCTGACTGTGGTCTGTCATTGGCTGACTACTGCAAACCAAATGTTGTTGTTGTTGATTGTGAGGAGGACCACCAGACTTCTTTCTACAACAAAGTTCTAAGTCTGTTTTCTTTGCTATTTTGCCAGTGTTTCTCTAATTTTCTTAATGTAATCAAGTGTTGTTAATAATGCAATACATTTTTAGGTACCTTATTAGAAAAGAACCTTCGTATGATTCCTGTGAAAGATATTGGCCTAGCTTTGTGGAAAACGTCAACATCTGTACACTGCAATCCTAAACATACACCCAACAGTGTTTTGCGCAGACCCGCTGATTCTGAGCAAAATGAAGGAGCCACTATAGTGATGAATACTGAAGATATTGATGCTTCTTTGACTGGTGTTGATATTCATGATGATCAGGTGATTTTGACTAAGTTAGTATTCATTTTGGTATTTTACTTTCTGATTGTGATTTTTTAACGTGTCGTGCTTTTTTAGGTGATTCCACCATCACTTTCCGAAACTCATGCTACCGATGATGCAACAATGTCTATGAGTGTGAGAGCAACACAGAAAACTTCTCCAGCAGGCCCTTCTCGTAAGAGGTTTGTAGTACTCCACCTGTCCCTTACTTTGTTTTCTGCTTTATTTTGATTATAACTATTAATCTTCGTCTTAAAATTTATCATTAAGGACTAGAGAAAATAGTACTGAGAGGCAAAACAGTGGTAGCATCAAAGTCTCTCCCAGAAAAAATCCTATTAAAAAGGAGCCACAAGAGGAAGAAGACATGTTTGCCTTTGAGGATGATGTCTCAAGACCCAGTACCAGCAATAACAGCTCTTCCACACATTTCAATAGCTCAAAGAGCAATAGCTCCTCCAAACGTCTTATAAATGGTTTAAATAGTTCTGTTGCTAAAGAAGAGAAACCCGTAGATGATGACAGTGATGGCTTTACTTTTAATGCACCGCCAAAGAAAAAGAAAATAATGCAGCAAGAAGAAGAAGAGGATCTGTTTGAATTGCCAGAGGAGCCCAGCTCTGCCAAATCAAATGCTAAGAGGGATGATGACGATGAATTTGATTTTTTGAGCAGCAGCAAACTAAGCAAGTCTATGAAAGATTCTAAACGCAATTTACATGAAGAGAGTAGAGATATGTTTCAAACAGAGGATCTCCCAAGTACTTCCTCCTCCTCATCTCGAGGAGGGAAGAGAAAGGGAAGAGGTGATTCTGAGTCTGAAAGTCCTCCATTCAAGAAACCTTCCAAACCTTGTTTAGATGTGACCAATGCCCACAACTCTCAGCAAAATTTTAAAAGTGCCACAGGATTTTTAACCAAGCAAAATAATTCTTTTGTTAAAATGGTAAATCTTATTTTCATGTCAATGAACTCTTCAACATTGTTTTGTCATTTCTGATGTATGGTCCTTTTAATTTCAGGAAGTGAAAACTGACCCTGATGAAGAGACAGATCTTGCTAATCAGCTTTGTGCCAAAGTTGTCATTAAATCTCTTTTGAGAAAGCCACAGGTTAATGGCCATAACAATACCTCAGTCAATAGCACCCAACAAACAGGAAAAAATTTCAAGAAATTTAAAAAGGTAATTGTCATACTGCCTAAGACAGCTTTTGTGTTTAGTAGTGACCTGCAATGTTAAGTCAAACTTCCCCATTTTCATCTGCAGGTGTGGTCTGGTTCGACGGCCAAGAATCACATCACAACCAGTCGTATCCGAACTTCGAATGGACACTCCCTCAATTTTACTGGCAGAGAAGAAGAAGAAGAGGAAGAGGACGAGGACGACCCGTTCATTCCAAATCGCCCCGCTGCCCGTCGCCGTCAAAGCGGCAACAGAAACAACATTCGTGACAACGATGACGAAGACGAGTTTGCCCTCCCATCTTACTCACAATGCATGTGATTTAAAGCATCTTTTTTTTTATTGCATTAAATACAACTAAGCATCTTTTTATATATTTTTTTAAATTGCATTAAATACAACTAATTCCAAAAGTTGACTCTGGTTTACTACTTTCTGTCTGTTTGCCCCTTGAACCAGAAACCACAGGCAATAGAAATATTTCCAGTCAGTACAGTGAAGCCTCTGTCCATACTTTTCCCCAATAGCTTCTCAGCCACACTGCTTGAATCACATACCACAAAAGAGGAGAAAAATGTAAAAAAAAAACCGAAATCTCTCAAATTGCACCGGGGGGCGAGCAAAGGCCAAAAGCCATCGTTCTTTTCGATACTGATAGCGTTTTGAATAATGGCCGTACCTTGGAATGCCAATGGCGGGACATGCGCCATAAACCACTCGGCGATGGCCGATGGCATCCCGGCTGCGGACTTATCTCTCCCACGCCACAATGCACCGGCCTGGAGTCGTTTCGCCGCGCTGTCTCTTTCGCACCCGTATGTCTTATGAGTGCGATAGAGACAGCAATGAAACGGTTCTTCGGGATCTAGCGCCTGCAGGCCGTGGGGTAGGTCGACCCGCGACACACCGGCGTTCGACGGGACAGCACACCCTCCAGGCGCCTGCACGCCGTAAGACAGGCCGACCCGCGACACACCGGCGTTCGACGGGACAGCACACCCTCCAGGCGCCTGCACGCCGTAAGATAGGCCGACCCGCGACACACCCGCGTTCGCCAGGCGCCCGGTCGGTTACGCCGTCGGGTACGCCGGACGGACAGGGAAGTCCACGGAATCGATAATTTGACCGCTGCTGTATTTTTTCCTTCCGACTGCGGTGCGGGACCGGCGATCCGTGTCACGGCGCCGCGGGCATCCCATTTGCTGCGCGTCGCTGCCGTGGCGCGGCACGGCACGACGGGGCGCCGCGTATCTCGCACCCATCTGGTGGCGCCGTGCCGCGGCGTATGGGATGTGCGCGAGGCATATGGAGTGCCACCTCAAAATTAGAATACAATGAGCAGAAGCAAGGTCGGGCTGCCGTCGGCTCGGACGCCAGAGACTAATAGAGTGATAGGAGCTGCTGGTGCCCGGACCGGGACTGGAGGGGCCAAGGCAGGGGTACTCTGAAAAAAAAAAAACACACAAATATGGGTGAAGTCTGCGATCGCTTTGCAGTGTGTAACCGGGCCCTGCGTCCATGGCGTCCGCGTTGTCATGCAGGCAGTCGGAGTGGACGCGTCGTGCCTCCACACAATTATTTCTGTCGCATCCCCGCCGTCCTCCGCGACCAAGACGGTCTTTCCTCAGCCAATAGTGCAGGAGGCGGGTTCGATTAATCGCCGATTAATCTCGCGATCGGCTTGATGAGCTAATTACACACCTGCGGGCCGCCACTGTGTGCAGCAGTCCGACTCGGAACGGCGGCGGCGTCGGCGGCGTCGCTCTGTCTCTCTCACACTCATGCGGTGCACCGCGTGGGTGGGAGAGAGACAGACGAGTCGCTCGACAGGATGCCGCAACGGCCGCTGACGCGGACGAGACGAAATTCCCTCAAAAGTCGTCTATTTTGCCGCGGCGCGGAGCCCCCTTAAATGCCAAGGCCCTTGTTCTTGTTCCTTGGCGTGCACCGAGACGCGTGCGGGGTTTTGGCGGCCGCGCCGGGCCGCGCTGACAGTGTTAATAAGCCGTCAGGCCGAGTGCCGACAGGACCGACAGGCCGGCAGAGGGATTAGCCACGAACTGACGGCGGGCGGACGGATGCTGGCCGCCGGCAAGAGGGCCTAGTCCGCGGACTGCAGACCGGGAGGGCGTAACTGCTGCGGCTGCTACGCCAAGATACAGCAATACGCCGACGCGGGGCGCGACACTCCAAACTGCCGCCTCGTCTCTCTCACACTCACGGCGCGTCCCGCACAGGTGCGAGAGAGACAGAGCGAGTCGCCGTGATAAGGTCAACAGCGTGCCAATTGCGGGGTCGCCGGCCCTAGCCGGCCCAGCCCCCGGGCGACACCATCAGAAGCCGAGCCGCTGGACGGATTGGGATTATTTCGCAAACGGCCAAGTCAAGAGCGTGAGACCATCCGGGGGCTCTTCTAGGAGGCGGGGGCAGCAGGACCGAACACGCGCCGCCGCCTGGCCGCATCGCTGGGCACGGCTAGGCTCCGAACAGTCGTGCTTTCGGCGCTCCGTCTCCCTCGCACTTGTGCCGTATTCCGCAGAGGTGCGAGAGAGACGGACTGCACAGGGCGGGGGAAGGCCCGCCCTGATTTATCACACGAGCGAGAGGCTGTAGTGTAGGCCCGGTGTATTGTAATGGGCGGGCCGTGGGGCGTGGAGCGTGGATGATGGGGGCGTGGTCGGCGGGGCCGCGCGGCTCGGCTCATCGCGGCGGGGCCCGTCCGTCCGTCCGCTCCCCTTGACCCTTGACCCCCGCGGCGACCTCTGTCCTGTCCACGCAAGTGCACCTCCAGAGAGTCGAGCCCCAAAATTGCCGCTTCCAGTGCTGCCCCCAGTGCTGCCCCCGCGGCCGAAGGCGTCCTCCTGGTCCTGGTCCTGGTCGCGTTGGCCTTCGACCCGGGCACGCCGGCACGGCAGCGCTTTTTAATTTGCCGTTGGACTGTCACGGCTGCCGACGTCGACGTCTCGTCGCCGCCCCCTCGTGGGAGGTGCTGGGGGTTTCAACAGTGGGGCTCGGCGGCGTCGTGCGAGGAACCGTTCGTTTTATTATCAAAACAATACAAAAATAGAAAAAAAAAAGCAGCAGTTTTCTCGGCCAAGAAATTTCCCGTAAAGCAAAATTAGCGGATCTTGAGTGTTTTCGTGGTGTCCGGTGGGTGGGCCGCAGCGGCGCCTGGCGCTAGCGCGCTGCCCGCGCTGCCCGCTCCGAGCGATCGGAGGCAGCCTGGACTCCAGGAGCGACTCCAGGAGTGAGGCGCGTCATATCAGTCGGATCGGGACGAGGAGTGCTGCGGGGGCGGGGCGCTCGGGGGGCTCAGAACCTTCGCTGGAACTGCTGGAACGGCCTGTACTGGAAGGGCTGCTGCCGGGCGAACGCCTGCTGCTGCTGGTAGTAGGGCAGGCTCTTGGCGACGGCCACGGCGGCCACGGCGGGCGGCGTGGGCAGGTGGGCGCCCTCGGCGCGGTAGCCGTTCTCGTCGGCGATGTAGTTGACGGTGTACACCTTGCCGTCGGGGCCGGTGTACGAGTACGAGCCCTGCACCACCTGCGCCTCGGCGTTCTTGATGCCCAGGTTCCTGGTGTAGCCGGCAGCCTGCGCCTGGATGCCGTCGCCGGTCTGGTAGCTGTGGGGGCAGAGAGGCAGGGGATGAGTGACACGGCGCGGGTTCAAGTCCTGACATTTGTGGATTTTTTTTCGTCTCGCGTGGCTTGGCCGTAAGGTAATGATGCACCTGGTTGCAGGCGCGGGTCGTCCATGACAATGTTGCACTGCTTGTTGGCCCGGGGGCGTGGCACGCGAGCCTAGTGGCCCCGCTTGGCGCTCCGCTTGGCGCTCCACCTTCGCCCCAGTCCTCGCGCCTCGGCCTGACGGCGAGCCTGACGGCGAACCTGACGGCAGGCCCGCCGCGTCACGCGAGGGCCATGCGCACGGCACGCAGTGCCAACCGCTGCAGCTCAATGCACCTTTTTCTTTTTCCCACGCGCTGGTCGCTCCGCTTACCGACGGCCTGAAGATGTGCTTCTAATTGGAGCAGCTCGCGAAAGGAACACTTTTTCCTTCAGCGAGACGCCCCAGGCGCGGCCCCTTTGACACGGGCTTTCCAATAACTGCCCTTCTTGGCGACGCGGCCCGCGGCCCCCTGCAGGGCTGGCAGGGCCGGCCGGGCAGCGCGTCGACGCGCAGACAGGATCCCATTACGGACGAGGCGAAGCCGCCCCAGCTGGCTCGGCCCGATCGCCAAACCACGTCCGTTTTAATTTCCATTCTGTTCCTTGTCTGACCGTGCCGTGCCGAGCCGAGCCGAGGGACAAACGCGCAGCTTCCCCCAATTAGGATCCTCCCCGGCGCAGGCCTGTGGCTACCGGTGGAAAAGCCTCCGCGCCCAGCCTCCAGCAGCCTCCAGCAGCCTCCAGCAGCCTCCAGCAGCCTCAGCCCCATGGCCGGCCAGCCAGCCAGCCCGGGCTCTGCCAAATTAACGTCTGTGAGACACAGACTCCCTGGAAGCCGCCCCGCCCCACCCCGCCCCGCCCTTGCACGCAATGACGATCAGCTTCCCTGCGTCTAATGAGGCGTGCAGCCAGAGGGGCATTGATTGCAGCAAGGGGCGTGCATTGGTAGCAGGGCGTTCCAGCAGGGCGTTCCAGCGGCCGGGGCGTTCCAAAGGAGGCGTTCCGGGGGAGGATGGCCCAGGCCTCTAGGTCTCTAGTGCTGCGCGTTGTCTCACAGGGGCGGGGAACTAGTCGAGGCGGACACTAATATGACTACAATTCGAGACACACCACTTGGGGCACGATTGTCACACTGTTGGCGTTGTGCGGGCCTACCTGTACTGGAAGGAGCCGTCGGGGTTGACGTCGTTGGAGTACTGCAGGATGGGGGCGGCGGCTGCTCGCTGCAGGTACTGCTGGAACTGTGCCTGCTGCTGGTACTGCTGCTGGTACTGCTGCTGGTACTGCTGGTACTGCAGTGCCTGCCGCTGGTAGCTCTGGAACGGACTGTACTGCGGCACTGGCGCCACTGTCCGCGCTTGCTGCGCGAGGGCCGAGCCCGCCACCAGGCACAGAGTGATCAGGTGCTGCGGGAACAAATACCAGGCCAATTAATTATTTTGGAAAGCTCCTCCTGGAGGACTGCTGCGGGTCCTCCGCCGGGGCCTCCTCCTCCTCCTCCGGGACCTCCGGGCACTTCCGCCGCGCCGCTGCAATTTCCACTCCATTTTCCCCGCGGCTCCAGTCCGCCCTTTTTTGTCCAGATTGGGGATCGGCCGCTGATGGCATTGGCTCCGTGGCTCCACAGCTCCAGTTCCAGGGGCCACCATTGCCCCGAGTGCAACGCAGTGCAGTGCAGTGTAGTGGCGCTGCAAGGTGGCGCGGTGCAACTGCCAGCCTCGAGCCTTGCAGTGCCCTCCAATCACAATCACTGCCCATGCCCAATCAAAGACCAACGAATTTCAACAAAATTAAACTAAAATTTACCAAAAAAAAATGATTAGTTGTTGCTTTTTGATAAATTTTGGAGTACACAGAACCTCAACAATTCGCGATAAAAGTGAATCACAATGCACGTATTTTAACTCGAGCTTCACTGTGTGTTGCTGTCTTGAGTGTCTGACTTGGACTTGGACTTTACCAGCTGCATGTTGTTGTGATGGTGCCGGCGGCGAGTATCCTTGCGATATGATGCAGACTAGGGCTTCCCCAGCGTTTTATACTTCGGGAGCCATCGGCGGGTGAGGTGGGGGGCGTCGGGTCGCGGCAGGGCGGGGCGGGGCGGGGCGGGGCGGGGCGGGGGCGGGGCGGGGCGGGGCGGGGTGGGGCTGCCGGCGCGGGTGGCGGACTCATCAAGCCGGGCGAGAGGCCTGGGGACCGAAACGCGAAGGATACAAAATGAAGCAGGCTCGCGAAAATTGGAATCATCCCCGTTTTGTTAAGTAACTAATGAGATTTCGGGGGCAAATTGCTACATGGCGACGCGAGCCGTGGGGCCGCAGGCGAGAGGCACCGTGGCAAGTACGTCCCTTGGGGCCTTCCCTGTGAGTGTGGATTCCAGCAGATGTGCGACAAAATTGTCAGTGAATGCTTTAAACCAATGCGTGTTTGGACACTGAGGCCGGATAAAAGGAGGAGCTTAGTAAAAATAATGGTCAATCATATTTTTTCAATATTTGAGGATATCAAGCGGGAGGGTTGCAAATTGGGAGTATGGTTCAAGGATCACGGGAAAAATAACTCCTTTTCGCCCAAATGTCCACGATGATTTTTATTTTGGCGCACTACCTTTCCCCCGTGGTGCGGAACAGAGAACAAAAGCGAAACGAACAATAGCCCCGATCGGCACCGGTGCAGTTTTAGTTTTGCTGTTGGAGATGGAGAAAATGAAGAGCTTGCCCGTCCGACCGGCCGACTGTTGAAGCATCGCTGCCCCATTTGTTTCCGAAACCATTGAAAATAATTGGCAGCGGGTCGCGCGGGCCATGTCGTATAGCATGTTGGCGCGCGGTCCACGCCGTGCCGTGCCCTGCCACCGATGATCTCATTGCCACATTTCGGCCAGTCGGGCCAACCGAACTGCAGCCGGCCTGCCCATTGGGCCTGCCGCGCGCCGATATGCCGATTTTTCAGTCGACAGGCCACCTCGGCAGGTAAATTTGGCCGCCGCTGACGTCACCGGCCTCGGGTCACGGCCCCGGCGACGGCCGCAGCGCCGTGGCAGGTAATTCTAATCAATTCCCAAGTGAGACGTCTAGCGAGAGACGCGGTTTACCAGAAACACACAAAATTGAGGCCGTAAAGAAAAAGAGCTCGGCCGGCACGCCTGTCCGCCTGACACTAACCGACCGGGCGTCTGCCAGTGCACAGTGGGCCAGAAGCCCGGCGGAGGCGGCAAAAACTCTAGACACGCGTTTGTGCTCCAGAGTCGCTAAGTGGTACTCGAATCGTACGTGTGGCCCCATCAATAGATTGCTTTCCGAACGAGGAATCCATTGGTGGGGTCACACGTTCGATTCGAGTCCTGTTAAGTGACTCTGAAGCCCAAAACACTTCTAGAAATTTTGCCGCCCCCCACCGGTCTTCTGGCCCACTGTGCGGTGTGCCTGCGTGGCCTGCGTGCCGCGTCGTCTGCTCGGCGTGGGCGGCGGACCGAACCGGCCGCCGCTTCCAGAGCCGCGTCCATCATCGATCGCCTTCCAGAGGAAGCTTGTCCGCATTCGCTAATGTCCCCAAACCGACTGCCCGCGTGCTTTACGGGTGAGCCGAGAGGTAACGTGATCAGAATCTCCGGCCAATCAGCGAAACGATTGCCGCGGCGCCCGGCAACGCGCGGCGACGCGTCCCGAGGACGAGTTTGCCGAACTCGAACCGCGAGTCTTCGAGATGAGAATGAAAATCGAAATGGAGTGGAGTGACTGTGAATAGCCCTTTACCCGTGACCTACACTGTAGGCTACACGGCCCGCGCGGTCCAGTTCGCGGGACAGACGTGTGCGGAACGAAGGCGGGCGCGTTCCAGTGCTCCAGTGGTGCGGCGCAGCGCGGCGCAGCGAAAGCACTTCGATAGCTCGATGCTCCATCTCGCTCCCACCCGCAGCACAGCGGCGTGTGGAACGGACCGCGGTGACCGCCGGCCGAACTTTGGCTGCCGCTGCATTGCAGCTATGACTGAACGAAGAACGAAGCGGCGCCCTGCAAACTGTCTCTGTCTCTGTCGCACTCGTGGGGCGGGCCGCCTGCCGGGCTGCAAGAGAGAGACGGAGCGAGACCGCTGTGGCGCCCCCTCCCGCGGGGGCACTATTATAGCATTCCGCGAGAAAATGAGAAAATGGGAATGGAACCAGTGTAGGTGACGCTCACATTCGCAGACTTCTAGAATATGTTCCCCGTGGACCTCATGTCAATTTCAAACTACTCGAACCACTTTGAGCTGAACAAGTTCGACACTCCGCCTCGCGCCGCACTTGGCGTGCTAAAGGCAAACCACGGAGACTATAATGGTCCTTAGTGTGTGAATAAGTGGCCTGGTAATAATTAAAGCCGAATGGTTGTTCGTTGTTCGGCGTCCGAAGTAGTCCCGAGGGACTGCCTGGTTGGCCGATCGAGCACAGGGGGCGCAACCAATCAGAGGAAGCGAAATGAACTCGGGGATCGCCTGCAGACCGACTCCGCACGTGGCTTGGCCGCCGTCTCTCTCTCTCTCTCGCACCGGCACGGAGCGCGCCTCGGGTGCGAGAGAGACAGAGAGAGACAGAGCGAGCAACGCTGCCTGCTCAAGGGACTGCTCGCGGCGTCCACGCGTCACTTGATGCGCATTCACGTGTAACTCATATTTAAGTGAGTATTTATTGCGTTGGTGGTCACGATCGGATGATGTACACACAGGTATTCATCAGCGCATAGCAGTGCAGGTGCGTAAACACTCCGCCGCCATTGTTGCTGCGGCCGGCCGTCGCGCATGTCGCAGTTTCCGCCTTTTCCGCGGTCCTTTCCTGGTTCAATTTCCTCCAACACAATCATCGCCTGGGCGCACGGCACGGGGACCCGGGCAGCTGCCCCCGTGATGAAGACCCCCAGCGGGCTGCTTCCGCACGGTGCTTTCGTCGCGCTGTCTCTCTCGCACCCGTGGGTCCTTCCGTCGGGGCGCGAGAGAGACAGAGCGACAGTTCGGCGGCAGCCTCCACGGCCGCTCATCCCGCACTGCAATTATCGCGTTGGTGGACGTCGACGCGCTGGCGGTGCGGATGGCCCACCGGAAATTGATATGCGAAGAAATTGAAAGTGTTGTGCCGCCGAGCGCGGATTGAGCGGCCCTTCTCATTTCGGCGTCGTCTGATTTACGAGTGGCGGGAATCAAATCCCGCCCGCCGACCGATTCCGAGAGTCGTTTTCGTCGCTCTGTCTCTCTCGCACCCATACGGGACGCCCCGTGAGTGCGAGAGAGACAGAACTACGAAAACGGCTCTCGGGATCGGACTGCCGTCGCGTCGCCCCCTTGGCGCGCCCATTTCTCACGGAGCAACATTTTTAAAAATGGCGGCCCGCTCGGCCCGCTCATCGGCTCATCAGCACGGCGCCGAGGCGTTCCGCGTGTTCCCAGCGGCAAAGGTCACGGCGCAAGGCAGGCGCGCCAAACAGGTGATGAATTAGGAACAACTGTCGTCGGTCGGGACCGTCGGGACGGCGGCAGCGTCGCCGGGCCGATCTGGACCGATCTGGACGCTGCCGACCCGATCGGCCCGATCGGCGGCGAAGGTGCGGGTGACCCCTGACCCGGCGGGCGAGTACACCAGCAGGACCGGCTTCTTCTTCGCGGCCCTCAAGGTCGCGCCAAGGCCGGCGGCTGCCCCTCCCTTCCCCTTCCCCCGCGTGCGCACGGTTGAAAACTCTACCAGTTCAAGGAAATGTTAACGACGACCTTGGGGTCATCGACCTCACGCGTCTGCTTCGTTAGAACGACCCCGGGACTTGTGACTTTGCTCTGCGCTTGGCGTTCGTCCGTGAGGCCAAGGGCTGCTCCGCGGCCGCGCCCTCGTCACTACTCCCCGCTGCAGCGACTCTGGCGAGTCCCGCCCAAGGGCTGCTCCGCGGCCGCGCCCTCGTCACTACTCCCCGCTGCAGCGACTCTGGCGAGTCCCGCCCAAGGGCTGCTCCGCGGCCGCGCCCTCGTCACTACTCCCCGCTGCAGCGACTCTGGCGAGTCCCGCCCAAGGGCTGCTCCGCGGCCGCGCCCTCGTCACTACTCCCCGCTGCAGCGACTCTGGCGAGTCCCGCCCAAGGGCTGCTCCGCGGCCGCGCCCTCGTCACTACTCCCCGCTGCAGCGACTCTGGCGAGTCCCGTCCGAGGGCGCCGCGGCGCTACCCCGCGCCCGAGCGACACTGCTGCGGCCGGCCGCGCGAAGGGGAAGGGTGAAGGGTCACGCTGAAGAAACAGCAGCGCCAGACATCGGCAGCCTTTGCGTGCCGCGCAGTGCCGCGTCAAGTCCGGAGTGACGTTGGCCAGACAACGATGCGCCGATCGCACTTGAAGCAGCGGCGGGGCCGCGCCACTGTGAGTGTAACACTCGGTAACACTCCTAAAGGCGCAACGTGCCACCTCATCCCCGCCCACGGGCTGATGCCAAACAGTGCAGTCTGATCGGGAGCACACCGCAAGGGACTGGACTAGTTTTATTTTGCCGGCCCGTTGGAGCTTCACCGCGTTTGGCCATCCCGCCTGACAGCTGCAGCCGACGGCCCGCAGCGACACCGCCGCCGCCACCCCCTCCACCCCCGCTGGATGCACCCGTTTGGCGGTTTGGCGCCGCGACGCACTCTGACGTGCTTTATGGCCGCGCAGCCCGGCGCAGCGGAACGGCGGCCCGGCACGCACACTGCAACGGCGCCTTCCTTCCCGAAACGCGCATTCCCTCGTCACCACCACCACCACCACCACGACGACGACGACGGCGGCGGCGTTTGGCGCCAAAAACGCGGCGGCGTGTCACGGGGCGGCGAGGGCCCCGCGGCGGACACGTCACGTCCGCCGACGCACTACACACTACGAACGCCGCCACGCCGCCACGCCGCGCCGCAGCCAACGTGCCGTACGCCATAAATGATAATAAAAGCGGCACATAAAACAAACAACAAATCACATTATTCCGACGAGCCACAGTTACGCCGCAGTGCACCGC